TTTCACGTGATTGGGATCACACCTATTATTGAACATCTCCTGTACACGAGAATTCAAACATCACGCGGATACGAGCGGTTAAAAGATGAAAATAAAGCCCCGACAAATTTCAGATAGCACCGAGACGACAGTGAAATACAGGAGTCTATTTCCCTCGACTACTTGTGATGCGCAATAATTCATTGTCCTTTGAATCGATTTCTGTCAGTATGCACATGCTGGTGTATTCCGACGTGATTTTAGTTGGAGGTAAAAATGAGAGAGACTGAGAGAATGAGACGAGGGAAAATGGAAAGCTACTAGAGGTGGAGGAAACAGAAGCCACATTTAAACGCCATCCTCGGGTCGATATCGAATTTGCAGGGCCTGGTGCCAGATGCCAACGAACCCTCACCTCTCCTCCATTCAAATGCAATGCAACCTCCGCATTTTCAACAAATTTAATTGCACAATTTCATCCTTTTTACCTAACGAACCAAATATTTCCTCGGACTCTGTATTTACAGCAATTCGCTGAGTCAATAGTGGTATGTGCTCCGAATCTTCAAGAACCATTTCATTGGTAAAGCAAGACAATAACAATTTGAGGCCATTTAACAACCCAATGTTTTTTAAATATCTTCCAACATGAGGGAAATAAATAAAATTGTGTAATTATTTTGATGTCTCTGTTAATGAGCTTTATAAAAAAGCTCGTGATGGTAATTCCAAATTAATCAGAGATAATATCAAATTCATTAATTTCCGTCTGTCAAATAAGTAGTCAATATCTCATAAGTATAATATAAAATTTTTCCATCAAGTATTTCAAAATGCATTCCATAAGCGATGGGTTGGTTTTTTGTAAGATATTACAGTCCCTTAATCCCGAGGTACATGAAGTTTTACGGAATTGTCGTGTTGAAACTTCGCAAACTTCGTGGAATAGATGAAAGTATAATTTTATGTTCAAAGGTTTATTAACTTTTCACTTCGTCCTGAAGAGTCAATATTTTCCCTCATTCTGACTGGAAACCTTTCAGGTATTATGTCCCTCCCCCACCCCTTCCGCTCTTCACCAACTTTCAGACTTAATGATACTTTGAGAATAAAATGGACTGGCTAAATTTTGAGTTAACATATGGTCTCACAGATGAACTAACTGACAATTTATTTTGAAATTCAATTGTTCGGAGCAGCAATCGACGAGTTTTCAAAATTTAAATCGCCAGAGTAAAGGAAAAGTTGTGGCTTCAGCTTTGACGGGGGAGTATAACATTTACTCAGCGAAAATCGACGTCACAAAGTTTGCCGAGTTTTTCCAACGCCAGTTCCAGAAATCGCGAATTTTTCCGGAGATATACTAGTTTGAAGTTGAACATAATTCACAAATACTAGGAATCGATTGCTCTGTAAATCAGGAGCGACAGGGGAAATGGATTGAGTCAATTCATCCAGGTGAATGTTCAATTACCGCGATAACGAGTCTTTCTACCAGAAAAAATCATTATTCATAAATCGACTTTTCTCCAGGTAATTAGCGGAGAGTCTACGGCATTAAATGCACGAAGAGAAAAATTGAGGGAACGTTAGTGCGAAAATTGGATAACGATTGAAGGCTCAAAATGCCCAGAGAAATATATTTTTGGAGATAAATCTTTCAGATAATTCAACGCCTATAAAAAGAATATTCGATTGAAAGAAATTCGTCTCCAAAATTGTTAATTGAAAGAAGATATTTTTATGTTTTCACTTGAAAAACATTTAGATCAATGATATAAATGGCGTTTAATTCTGGATTGCCCTGAGAAAAACCTCAAGCTACCTCGAACGATCCAGCGGATAAAGTCTTTCCAGCGTCTGCCTTATTCAAGCCCCGGTCTGTTTATTATTCCGCAAACCCATCCGAGATAAGAAATCATCCCTGAAAAGCTTTAAGAAAAAGCAGAAAAGTTTAGTCTCTGTGAAAATGTTGATATGCCTAGCTCAACGGGGGTAATATAGCCGACCACCCGGTGTTTCGTTGCACGCGACGTGCACACCGCATCCAACTCGATTAGTCCACGCTCGCCTGAGCCTGTCACCAACTTCACCAACGTACACCCAGAAAATTAAAT